TGCCCATGTGGTTCTTAGATCTTTCAAACTGGTTTGAGAGAACGTTTGCAGGGGTTTGGAGATGCAGAGTAAAGAACCTCTAATGATACAAGAAGACTTTGGTGGGTGATTCTGGTGGGGGGTCAATAGCCCTCCACCCCCACTCTGTGCTAATGTAAACACAAACAGTGAAGGCCTGGCGAATGAGGTTTGTTTGTTTGCTTTTTATATTTTAGACGGAGTCTCTCTTTCTAGCCCTGGCTGTCCTGGAACTTACTATGTAGACAAGGCTGGAACTCATAGTGATCTTCCTGTCTCTTCCTCCCAAGTATTGAGATCAAAGGCAGGTGCCACCACGCTCAGCCATGCTCTTGAGGTTTAAATGTGAACAAGGACTCAAAGAATTTGGACTAGAAGCCATTCACGTTACTGAATGGCAAAGATATTACGTAGCTATTTCCCATGTTCTGAAATTTTAAGTGAGGCTAAGGTGAAACGCAATAGATGATTCGGTGGAGGAAAAACAAGATAGCATTCGGGCTGTGGTGTGGCCATTGCTGGCTGCTTCAGGGTCGGTGAAAATCAGGATTAAAAAAAATCAGATCAGAAGGATGCAAGAAGCACACAGTTTGGCCAGAAAAGGGAGCTGTTTAAGGTTACGGATAAAGAGACTGTGTTACCAGCAACAGTAGAAGAAGCTGAGCTCTTTGTATTAAGACAATAGGACAGTTCCTCTGGGCACTGCAGAATTAGTGAGACTTCGCTCACACACATTTCAGGGTGTAAAACTGCAAACTCATTTGAAAGACTTCTTTAAAGAGAGCATGCCAATGGGGTGCCCTACTCACAAGGGGATGCCTAAGGGGCAGCTGTTCCCGGGTTCAGCTGCCTAGGCACTCAGAGGCCTCTGCAGCCATAATCCAAGGAAGCCCAGTTGGCATTGTTTACACCGAGCTAGTTTTCTAGGTATGGAACATGCAAGAGTTATGGGACATGGAGGTTTCCTGCAAGACTCCAGAGAAAGATCTGTGTGGCCAGACAATGTGTAGTTAGCTGTACTGTGGAGGAGATCTGGAAGGCTGTGCATGAAGCAATGGAGAGAGAACCCAAGCTGCAATAGAGACTCTGATGCTCTTGATCCCAGGAACACCGGCTTTCCGAGGAGCATGACCCAAATAAAGAGATAATGTGCACTGCAAGCATTATAAGGGCTTGTGGCCAGGGCAGCCAAAGTCCATTGGAAGTCACATCACGCCATCCTAAATGCTGGGCACGCATCTAAGGGAGTTGACATTCGCCCTGCTCGGATTTGGGCATGCTTTAGTTCCAGTTCTCCCCCTTCTATCCCCATTCCTCCCTTAGGAATAGGATGCTCACCCCAGACTATAGACTGAGACCGGGCAGCATTCTTTTGACTCATAGGGCCTCGTGGTTAGAAGGTTGTCTTGAATCCCAGAAGGGTCTTTGAACTTTGGTCTTCTGCAAAGGCCTTGGGATTGTTAAGATTCCTGAAGTTCGAGTTGTACAGGGAGTGGCACACTTTATCTCAGCACTTGGGTGGCAGAGGCAGGGGTATCTCTGAGCTCAAGGCTAGCCTGGTCTACAGGGCAAGTACCAGGACAGTCAGGTCTACACAGAAAGTATGTCTGTCTATGTCTATGTATTACTTATATATAATTATACATAATATTATTAATAATAAATATAGTATAGTATAGTATAGTATAGTATAGTATAGTATAATATAATATAATATAATATAATATAATATAATATAATATAATATAATAAATATAAGGCTTTTGAAGTTGTGAGAAGCCTGAAAACCTCTGGAGGCTAGGGGTGCGCTATGATGGTTGGGATTGTCCTTCTCAGACGCCCATTTGAATGCTTGTTCTGCAGCTGGTGGTGCTACTTTGGGAAGCTATGGAACCACTAAGAGGTAGAATCTAGACAGAAGCAGGTCACTAGGAATGTACCTTTGAATGTTATATCCGGATGTTGCTTCCTGGTCTGCTGCGATGTGAGTAGCCTTTTGCCACACACTCTGTGACATGAACTGGGTTTTCCCTCCGGTGGTAGAGTGAGAGCCCATGAAACCAAGAGTCACAATAAATCCTCCTCCCTTAGGTTGCTTCTATCGGGAGTCTGTCACAGCAATCCCAAAGAAGTCACACAGTGGAGGCAGCTGACCTGCTAAGAACCAAGATTGAAAGGCGGTTGTGGTTTGGATAGACCCCTCCACAAGTGTCCCTTCTCCTCCCCCTTCTCCAGCACCCATTGGTGGCAGATCTTCAAGGCTCTCACACCCCACACTCCATCATAAAACATGCTCTGGGCATCATCAGTTCACTTTGGAGTTGGAGCAGTCAGAGTTTGGCATACATCCTCAGCCACTTCCTCTCTTCCCTGTCTGGAACCCACAAGTGCAGCCACCATCCTTACTTCAAAACAATGTTAAGTGCATAGCCTGGCACCTGAAGGGTTTCAAAAGACAGACTCTGAGAGGACCAGAGAGTAGGTAGGCGGCTCAGGTTTAGTTCTTCCAGAACCAGGTGGGTTGTGCATGGTGGGCAGTGCTCAGTTTGTGGCAGGTGCCACTAGAGGGCAGCAGCCATTAAGGCAATAATACCCAGGCTCAGGTCCAGAATTACTCAGTTGACAGGAGAGGTAGAAAAGCATTTAGTGTGTGTGTGTGTGTGTGTGTGTGTGTGTGTGTGTGTGTGTGTGTATTTGTATGTGTTTATGTTTGTATGTGTTTGTGTGTGTATTGTGTGTGTTTGTGTATCTCTGTGTGTGTTTGCATGTATGTGTGCTTTTAATGTGTTTATGTTTGTGTGTTTGTGTGTTTGTATGTGTATTTGTGTGTGTTTGCATATGTGTGTTTGTAATGTGTTTGTGTGTATGTTTGTATGTATGTTTTATGTATTTGTATGTTTGCCTATATGTATTTGTGTGTCTATTTACATGTTTATAAGTGTGTTTATGTGTTTGTGTGTGTTTGTATGTGTACTTGTGTGTGTGTCTGTGTGT